GCAGCATTCATCAAGTTCATTAGCTGCTTGAAAAGAGTGCATTGGTTCGTTACTATCAGTTGGTAATGAAAAAAAAACACGTAGATGTGTTTGATAAAGTTAAGTAGTCTCTTTTCTAAGACCTATTGAAAATTACCACTCAACTGCTTCTTCTTTGACAGTGTGTTATTGGAAGTCTCCTTTTCTTGTAACAATGAAGTAAGGCGGCGTTATATTTCTCGTCAATGATTTGGACGGCATGTTTTATCTAAGTGTGTGTGTGTGTGAGAGAGAGAGAGAGAGAGAGAGAGATTGAAGTCACCGCACTTATCCATCAGGTTCAGGTACCAGTATGCCTTAAAGCAGACGCACATCTTATTGGCACCAACCATGTAATATAAGTCTATCAGCTGTAACATACAGCGTGTTTTAAATCCACCCAAGGCAGAGAATTATTACCTAATGAAAAGGTCGTAAAATATAGTGTCCTATCCTGTTGTACTTCTCACCAGAATTAATAATAAGGTTAGACTTACAATCGCTGTAACGAGGAGACAAAATGGTGTTTTTTTTTTCGATTTTCAGTATTGGTATTATTCATCTATCAGCAGAAATTGCAGTTTATCATTTGCTAGATGCGTATCAAGGATACGCGAGTTTGTTACATGGTTTTGTGTTTAAAACATCATGATCTGAATTGATAAAAAACGCTTTGTCAACTCTGTCATAATGTAAAGACCGACAAAATAATCACTTTCAAACCAAATCCTTTGACTGCCGTATCTTACAATAGCTTAAAAAGGAGTAAGGCATAGTTGCTAAGAGCAGTTTTGGCGTGTTTCTACCTTAGTCGTCATTTCTTTCCTGGCTGTTTAAAAATCGGGAGATTTAATTTTGGCAGTTTGATGATGCGTTGCCAAAATGATGATTAATTCCTTACGTGTCTTTTATCAAATTAACCATCCCGACCTTCGTCGCAAATATCTATCGGCAAAATACTGTCTTCTTAAAATACAATAATTACAAATTCAATGTGTGTCGGGACGGTATAAAAGGTTGCCTTGGTCCAGTTTTGACAGACTTCGACTTCAGTCAAGCTCCAAGTCACACTTCAACAGTTAGCAGATGACAGCTCTTTTGTCGCCAAGATGATGAAGCTGATTCTACTCGCTGCTCTCGTGGCTTTGACAGCAGCAGCCACTAGGTGGGACTCTGGGAGTAAAAAGTGAGTTAGTGGGTGTGTGTATGTGTGTATATTTTTCATGTATTTGTGACTTTTTCAGCCAAGATGATAAAGCTGATTCTACTCGTGGCTTTGGCAGCAGCGGCCGCTTCGTTGGACTGCGATGTTTCTGCGATTTACTCTTACCAATACTCAAAATTTAATACAAAATTACAAATGAAAAAAAAAAGATCCGGGCAGTCTATTTTCAAATATGTAGCTGAAGGAATCACCTTACTTTTGTTTATAAGCAATTTTTTTGGGGGGCTTTCATTTTGCTCAGCGCTCGAGAATCGAGACAAGAGATGCCAAGAAATGATTATTTTATACAGAAATGATACGCTCAGCCTTTACTCCAAGTCTAATAACCTGAGTGCCACTGAAGACTGTTTGTCTTTCATATTGATAGTTTATCCCAATGAAATTGAAAAGTTATTTGTCTTTTTTTTTATTTTGTAAAAGGACTCACTATGGATACCAACCAGGCGGATATGGAAATGGCGACAACAGCTATTATGGTAAAGGGTACGGATATGGTGATCGCAACGGATATCACCTGAACGGATACAACAGCAACGAAGGAGGCTATGGATACAAAGGTGCTGGATACGGAAAGGCTCCATACGGAGGAAAGAAGGGATCAATTACCCCGTGGGGGTTTTTGTGGTAAGATTTCAATTTTACTTATTTTACAGTTTGTTCCACGTAAGTTAACTGGAAATATTCAGCCTAATGCATGTTTTCCTAATGGCTAGTTAAGACGAGTCGGAAAATTAAAAAAAAAATGATAATAGGCTTTTTTTCCGTTTTTATACAGTCTGTTAATATGACATATTGTATAGACAATTTGTCTATCCATTAATTTTTGTATTGGTCCGATTTCACTATCTAGACCCGTGCAGTGCCTTGAGAGTCATCATCAATCATTTCTTTATATTCCAGAAACTGATGCTGTGGATAACCATTATTCTGCAGTGTGCATAGCCGGATATGACGTCATCAACCACGTGACCCATACCAAACAGTTCCTTGCTCATATATCATTCTAAATATCTTTACTGCTTTTGCCCATAAATAGAACGGTGCAATTTGGAAACATATTCTGTATTACATGTATGAAATTTTACATCGCTTATGCAATAAAATATAGTGATGAAGTTGTCATTTTGTTTTTAATCTTTTTTAACCAATAATGGTTGCAAATGTCCATGGGAATCATAAACGTTTTTTTTTTTTTTTGTTTTGTTAAATTTCATTTGCAAACCAAGCGATTAATTGTATTTGCAATGATACAGCTGTGTATTAAAGAAATTTTGATGTTAGTAACAAAATTCAAGTTCTGACATGGCCTGGCGAAATACAGAAACACTCGAAAGTGTTTTTATTTTAAAAAATTCACCTTAACTGATTTTATTCTGAACACTTGTAAAAGGTAAAAGAAAGTTATATTTCACAGATAGTACAAGCACGTTAAGAGAACATGTATGAATGAATTATTTAATCATCAGAAGAGGCTGTGTCTACAAATATACATGTATCATAGAAGACAAAGCATTATTTAACCTAACTGGCTGACAATGTTGTAGTTCTCCACCTTACACTGATGATCACTGCCTGAGATAATAATGCCAACATTATCACGGATCGTTATGACCTACGTCAAGGAAGACGCAATTGTCTTTATATACTTTCTTACAAGATTCTCCCAGAAACTGATTGTGAAAAAAAGTAATTTTTCATGTGGTATTGAAAAGCAAATGATCACAATAAAACAACGGAAGTTCCCTCCAAATAACAATAAAAAAGTATACACTTTAATGCCGTTTTGTATAAGTTTCCTTTGTGGAGGTCTGCGTTCGCTATCTGAGCGCTTTTCTAGTTATGTATTCTGATGTAGTTTACTATAACTCAATCATCAGTGTCATACAAAGGAGGTGCTAATACTTTTTATACCTGATATTGTTTATAAACATGCATGGAATACTTGGTGATAGATTGTGATTGGTGTGCTAGGAAGCAATGTGGGTAGTATTTGGTAATAGATTGTGACTGGTGTGCTCGGAAGCAATGTGGGTAGTATTTGGTAATAGATTGTGACTGGTGTGCTCGGAAGCAATGTGGGTAGTATTTGGTGATGGATTGATTTTTGTGGTTAGAGGCAACGTTAAAATATCATAGAAAATCTTTTGAAAAAAACTCCAATCTTTAAATAAAAACAAACACAGTTAAGGGACTCCCTACAAAATCTTAGTTTCACAATTGGACATCTCTGTTAAGTGTCAAGGTTTCTGAAAGTCCTGCTAAACCAGGCTTGTCAAGAAATTGTAAGACAGCACTAACAAAGACTTGCAAGTTGGAAAGATTTCTCCATGCGCGTGACATTGTTCACACGTGGCCCACTGTCAACGTAATTTTCACTAAGATCACTCTATGTCCCGTATACGGGTAGTCATCAATTATACCACGTCTACATGAACTTTTAGCCAACATGTTAGGTATCGTATGGACGTCTGAACGTCGAACAAACAAGCAAGATCTTGTCAGGCTATTTCCTTGGTGTTGGGCTCAGTAAGAATATCCATTTCTTTAATACAAGATCAACTCTTGTGCTATTGCATATCTTTTACCCCTTGCACAGTTTTTGCAACTCCCAGTCACGAAAAGGATAACTTTATTTCAAGTAAAAGCAAAGTGAAAAACAAATCAAGCGGAACAAATCACCACTATTTTATATTTTTTCGAACTCTTAATCGCGTTAAACACTGTATCTGGAATAAAAAGCACTATTTCTAACAATTTACAGCTGTGAGGTGATCATTTGTAAATTAAAGTACATGGAAATGGGGGGTGGGACAGCCTTTTTGACCAATGTTGTATATACGTTGTAAGTTACAAAACTAATATAAACACGAAAGAGGGATATTACGATAGTTTTATATTCTGCATATTTATGTCTAATAAATTTGAATTAATGGTAGAAACAAAATTTTGGTAGATGGAGGATGATTTTGCTGGACTATAGTATAATACTAGTACAGTATATGCCACAGTTCTGCATAGTAAAGTCAGAGGCTGGTCGATCTTTGCAAAGTTTCTGCTGGTTTGATTCAGCTAAGGTTGATCTCTGATTAAGCTTTGTGTAAAACGCGTGGGAGCTATGACTCCTTCCAATGAATGGATTGAACGACTTTACAATAGTTATTTAACATCAAACTTTTCAATACTAAAAATAACGAATGAATTTTGTCCTTAACACTTATATAATTTTCAGTTGTGGACCCGTATTTATATCTGACTTATGGAAGGCTGATAAATTCTCATTGCATTCCAGGGGCGGATCCAGGATTATTTGAAGAGGGGGGGGGGGGGCCCCTGACCCCCCCCCCCCCCCAAATCCCCCCCCCCTTCGTAAC